CGATATCTCACGAAACACTGTTACGCTGCGACGCGCCTGGCATACATCTACCTAGGCCTGCGGCGCTGGCACCCGAGTCGGGTAGTGCAAAAGTGTACTCAAAGATACGGGCCTCCGGCCCGTCAACGGCCCGTCACTTTGACTAAGCATGCAGGGTTGTACATTTTTTCGCTTATTTTTGTCAAGAACTCCCTGTGGCGCCTAAATGGTTACAGATAGAGCCAAACGGACGAAATTTTCGGCCGTAGGACTCTAATAGGGTATTTCAGAGCTGGAGGTGAAGAAGTAAAATGGAAGGACAAAACGCGCATTGCGCATGAGCAGACGTCCCCCAGGGCCTATCCAGTGCCATGCATCCTACAACCTACAAGTTACACCCACCACCCGGTGGTTGCACATGCGTTTCGTTGTCCAGAAATGAACCCTCATATACCCTGAAAATCTCACGTCCCTAACTAATCTGCTTCTGGTGGACAGAGACAGACGGACACGGCATTGATTGCATATGCCTGTTTTATTTTTGTCTCGCCCGTCTGCTTTGAATGAGCAATGATAAAGCGGGGCTGATGCAATCGATCTTGCGATTGTCCATGCCAGAAAAAGATGAGCAGACATGGAATTTCCAGGTTAGCCTAGGATTCACCTCTGCGCAACGAAACGTCCACGGCAAATCCTTTCAACACCCCTCAGGAGGGTTAAGGTCCGTATCAAAGAAAAAGCAGGCCCGCCCTCCCGTCAAGCGAAGTTGCCATCTTCACTTCACAGGCAACTCTGTTTGGGCGGCGGTCGGCCTGCTTGGCCTGGATAGTAACTGAAAATTGCATTGCAAAGGATGTTCCTACCACTGTTTCTAGACGCCGTATTGGGAGAAACGGTGCGATACGTGCCTGCCCCCGGCCCTGCCGTGTACAGCGCGCCTTCGCCTAGCCCACTGGGAGCTGTCACGGTGTCCCAGCCAGTTCAAGAAGAAAGTGCTTTGCTCGAGCCGCAAACAGGTGGCACTGCGTTGGAACCACACACTGCCCCAGACGCAAAGGGAAGCGCACTGGATGTGTCTGTGGCTTCGGCAGGAGCTGATTCCTTGCAAAAAGCAAACGACGGTGCAGCAGAGCTTTACGCGGCTACCTCAACCCATGACGATGAGACGGCCTCCGGTATTGCAAGTGTACCATCCGGTAAGTTTGGCTCGGATTGGGTACAGTTCTGGGTACGGGCAAAATTAAATGGAGAATATTGTGAGCGTTAAGATTACTACTCTCATCATTTATTTTTGGTGCATTCTACAGGACAGGTAGCCAATATACAGGGTGGTCCACCCCCTTCCTTTATTCTCCGTATACTCTACCGGATGCAGGCGTGCGTGCGGGTTGCATGCATACTCGCACGGAGCCATAAGACGCTTCGTTGAGCAGTATAAGCCTGCCTGCACGCCTGCAGGCGGTACAGTCTAAACGAAATAAAGGAGGGGGTCCACCCTGTACGTACCAATTTTAAACATGGTATGCATTTGTCCATCTTTGTACAATTCCGCGCAAGGTGCATAAGCACTGGAAGTGTGCACTTCTCTTTGAGAAGAACGAGCCTTGTACATGTTCTTGTAGTCCAGAAGCATCTTTTGAGTTCCACGTTTTGTCCGAAATTACAAACACATCATCCGAAATCACACGGAAAATAAGAGTTAGTTCCCCTATCCAACGTGTTAGTTGATTTTCGGATTTTTGGAACTAACTGCTCCTAGCTGCAGATACCACACTCTCAGCCCGTTACTGACAATTTTTATAGAAAGACGAACTTCTTATTTCTTTGTACAGCAGTAATAGTTCCAAATTTTTTGAGTAAACGTGAATTATTTTGAAAGTTGATACTCACAATCAGTCATATT